AAAAAAAAAAAAAAAAAAAGAGAATTAAGAAACATAAAAAAAAAGCCTTATCGAAGAATACATAAGTATATAAATTTATTGTAACCTCAATGGCCGTCTTTCGATCATTATCGTCAAGATAGATGGTCTTCGAGAGTGTCATAAACCGCGTCTTCCAATTCCAATAAAACTTTAAATGTCTGGTGCCTATCTTAGGACTGGACACAAATTTCAAACCGAACTGCTGAATCGTAGATCCGAATCGAAATCGAACCGAATTTTCGGTTAACCGGGGTACTCGGTTCGGTTACAAATACCTCAAAGGAAGTATTTGCTCGGTTCGGTTCGGTTACGGTTTTTAGGATTTTTTTTACCCCAGTTAACCGAAACGAACCAAACCGAATCGTATATTATATTAAAATTTATAAAATATATATTATATTTTATATTATATATTATATTTATATATACTAACCTGTTGGGTTTGCTCGGTTCGGTTCGGTTAATATTATATTATATATTATATTTAACCGAACCGAACCGAACCGAGCAAGACTGTATTAGGTTTGCTCGGTTTGGTTCGGTTCGGTTAATTCGCAAATAAATAGTAGGATTTTTTTCGGTTAACCGAAAATTCGGTTAACCGAGATTTTCTGAATTTTCGGTTCGGTTTCGGTTAGCAAGTTCGAATATTTGCTCGGTTCGATTTATTTAGCAAATACCTCAAAAAACTCGAGTATCCGAATCGTGTCCAGCCCTAGCCTATCTTTCCTAACCTGCACGTGACAAAACATTTTTCAAAAATCAATTCTGAAGTTAGTTCGTTCAAACAAGTACGACATATAACATTTACGTACCAAAAAATTATTTTTGTTATTTTATGAGCGTGTTTTGGTAAGCACCATACACTAACTTATAATTTATTTGGTTGAATTATAAGCTTTATGTATACAATAATCTTAATTTGTTTGGTAAGATTTTTTTTTTTTAACAAAATGTTTGAGCATATCTATCAAGTTTCTTAAAGTAACTTTTTAAATAAACTCATTGAAATTTTTATTTCAGCCAACTATGAACTGACTAATTGTAGTAAACACACTTTTATCATGTCACCTAGCTTTTCAGTCATATGTCATTGTAACATATTACGGTTACGTTATGAAACTATTCGGTCGGAGTTTGTAACGTATGTCTACATGAGACCTGATTCTCAGGTAGCGAGACCAGCTAACATACAGTTCCAGCTGGGTTCCTTCTTGTTTCTTGCGTCCCGTCAGACTTAATCAAGGTAATCTGAGAGGAATTTTGCTTTAGTATTTGGACATGGATCTGTCAGATACCATAATATTTATACTATTGTTTTTGGTTCGTATGGATTTGATGGACTTTATTAGAAAGTCACACACAGATGCCGGCGGCGCAGACACACGCAAATCTCACCGGCCGGCGGGGATACTTACAGTCACACACCTACTCTTCTCTAAACCTTTTATAATATCGGAAATTTGTGTAAGGGATGTTAGGATATTGGGTGTTTTCTTTTTCTTTCTATCGTCGAATGCAAACAAGATGTTCGATGAAATGTCTTGAATTGACACTTGCTTCGTTTTGCCTCCAAAAAGTGAAGAGCTTATGTGAATAACCTCTGGTGTTCATAATCGACATGCATTTTTGTTTAGAGTCTGATCGATTGTCTCAATCTCAGTGTTAAAAAATTTCTTTTCCTTTTACTCACAGGTAAAGCAAGGACCATCAAATGTCGACCTATCTGTGGAGGAAATATGCACAATACGTGACCACCAAGTGGGAGAGGACCCTTCTGTGGGACATGATCGAGCCCTACCGGCGGCCCAAGTCTTTTACGCCTCTTGTCACCATTTATATATGTGCTTTTTACACAGGGGTCATTGGTGCTGCAATCACCGAGCAACTCTACAAGGTGAAGCTGCAGCTTTTTGTCCGATTTTTCAGAAAAAAAAAATAATTTAGAACTTGATTTTTACTTGGATATATTACTTGCTGTATCATCTAAACTTCGATTTTTAATTATGTATGCTTCTACATTTTATAAAGGGTGTTGCTTGTGTAGAAAGGAATCTTTGAGAATTTTCAAATCTTTTAGGATTTTTGCTTTCGTCATTATTAGAATGTTAGAAATTAGACCGGCATACTGTCATTTTGTACGCATTGTGTTGCGAAGATGACGCTTTTCTTGATTTATGTTAGCAGAGTTTTATGTGTTTATTACTATGTTTGGTACTAGCCAAGGCAGCTCTTGCTGGTCTTCATGGAACTCTGATTTTGGTATTTAGAGGGCGGCGTCCGCAATATTACCTTTTACCTCCCATATCTTCTGGTGTTGTTCAAATATTTATATTTTCGGCTTGAACTTTGTCACATACACTTCTACAAAGAACTGTTTGTTTCGGTTTAGCAAATAACTTACAATCTGCCAAGGTACTAGAGTTTCTTCATGATATCATGGTTGTTCAGAAGCCTTTTTCTTAATTCGTCCAGCATTGACAGAAGCTGAGAGTTTCTTGTGTAGTAAATAAATCTGTTCTGCAACTGCTTTTACTAGTCGAGATGTTTTAGTTATTTCCTTCTGCCTGCCTTGGTTTTTTTTTTTTTTTTTTTTCAGGAGAAATATTGGGAAGATCACCCTGGACATGAAGTTCCAATAATGAAGCCAATGTTTTATAGTGGGCCCTGGCGTATTATGAGAGGTGAGGTTCCTCGTTATTTGGAGGAGCCGCCAAAGCAGACGCCATCTTAGCTGGTCTGTTTTTGGTCTCTTCTTTGTGTGCTTGTGAAATGAGGGATTTTTAATTTTGAATGTCATTCATGATCGGTATCCTATTTGCGCCCATCAACATCGAGCAAGTTGTTTGATTCAGCGGAGGGCCAAGAGTCATCACTATAGAGATCATGACAAAGATCAGTCAAGAGAGACGAGGCTCATTTGAATCTGTTGAGGATTGCACCTTGAGCAATGTTCATATTTTCACATAAATTGAATTGTCTTTCGGAATTCAATCATCTTTGAGGGGATGAACTTATTTATTAGGGACTCGTTTAATCCCTTTGACGTGCAAGTTTTAGGACGTAAGAGCGTGTCCGACGGACACATATTCGCAAACTCAAAACGGAAAGAAAAAACAGCTCCAATCGGTACAATGGACATGCTTTCGCAAACTCAAACAGAAAAACTAGCTGCAATGAGAATGCAAACGCAAATTGAATTTGCATTTTTCCAATAATCCGTGGATGAAACGCATAATTGTGTTTCTCAAAACACAACAAGTTTTGTATCGATAGTCTATTTTTATCAAATAATAAAGAATTACTTAAATATAAAATTGGGAAATATGGGGATTTGAGCACTCTAGTTATATTGATAATCTCAAAAAGACCATATACTTCCTTCTATTCATTATAAATGTCGCCATATACTTCCTTCTATTCATTATAAATGTCGTTTTGACTTTTGTGATTCATCCATTTTGTTATGTATCTAGATACATAACAAAATGGATGAATCACAAAAGTCAAAACGACATTTATAATGAACAGGAGGTAGTACATTACATGACCATGTAGCTTTCTTTAAAGCCTTGATAGTACATGTGTCAATTTTTTGAGACATTGGTTACATGCATAATGACATGTGTCGTCATGTCTTTAATGGACATGTCTTTACTGGCCTGGATTGACACTTTCCTGGCCAGATCGACTCTTTTTTGGTAGATCGAAACCTTTCTGTCTAGATTGAAATTTTCCAGGTCACCTTGGCACGAGTTTGTGTCTACTTGTGTTCGCGTGAATTTCTTTTGTGTCATGGTTGTGATCTCACCGGCAAACAGGTATTGTCTATCTGGCGAGGTTCTAACAGACTCACAGAGTAATACAAGGCGGGCTCACCCACGTTGGTGACGGTCCGGGTGAAAGTCTTGGGCGAGCTGAGCGAAGCCGGCAATGTGGGGTAATTCAGCTTCCCCTGAGGGATTCTTGACGAGCAATTGGGCGGCTCCTGCGTGATCATCTCAACCTGGTCCTACGTGTATCCAAATCCGCACAAAAACGGGACGTACCCATCCATTGCAATGTCATAGACCAGACCGGGATCAACACCTTGTTCGTGTAGATGTGCCTGCCGCCCCCCCGATATATATTAGTCGGAGTAAGTTTCTCGGTAGGCCATGGACATTGATGTGGCCGGCTAACAGATTTCACGGCCACTGCCGAGTAGTCGGGATAGGCGTGACCCCACTTAGGTGAGCAAACGATATCGACATGCCCGAATCGATCCCCAAATGATCCGGGTCCAAAAGAGACCACCCCGCCAGAATGTTTTCTTGAACGAGATTTTGTTGCTGTTGCTTCTTTGATTGAAATATGACATTTTTATTATTTTTATAAATATTAATATATTTAAGTATTTATGTAGCACACGAGTATCATATAAGTTAAAGGTAATAATGTAAAATAAAACTTACAAATTTAAAAGAAAGGTTATCATGTCAACATTTTAAATTATTTGTGACGAGTATGCAAGATTAAACCACTTTTCATCTCAGGCCGGATCTTATATTGAGGGCCGCAATTCAGGTTAACAAATACAAGATAGACATACAAACAAACTCTAAAAGGATGGAGGCTCATATCAGATTAATATGGATCACTGGATCTCTTATCCGCCGTTTTTGCTCGAAATATTCAATTGAATCATTAACCTATTATCTTTTTTCTCCGTTGGGCTGCACATTTGTTGGCTTTTCTTGTGGTTTGTATAGTGCTATTCTGTGAAGCTGCCTTTTCAGATTGGGCAAAAGACTTCGAAACTATGCACATTTTGTAACTAGCAGTTTTCCCCAGGTAGCACTCGTGTTCCCTGGATTGCGAAAGGAGGCGGTTTCGGTTTGGATTCGGTTGATTAGATGGGTTTATTCTCTGGCAGTGCTAAATCTTCCTAACATTTTAGCCCATAAATTATGTGCCGCAAGCGGGAATTTATTATCTCATACAACTAATACCTTCATGTGGAAACTTATTCTCAAAACTCCAAAACAAACCTGCAAACAAAAAATTGTCACTTTTGTCATAACGGCCCCTGTTTTTCTCTAAAATTTTTATACAGATCCAATGTCCTTAAGAGCTCTTGACCAATTCATACGTTTAGATTGTTTCTGAGTCCAGAGAAGTTGTAACAGTTACAACGTGTGCCAATTATTCATGGATGACCGGAACCAGGTATAATATAAGTTCCATGTGGGCACGTATATGTGCTGCAACAACTAAAGGCAAGAACGTTGATAAGTATTCCATGCACACTCAATCCAATTGGTTGACATTTGGTAAGCAATCAAAATTTATTGATAAAGGGCTAATGATGAGTAACTCGTAACGCGTATTCTCTTAAAATAACTTCAGTCTGAATGTGAGGAGAAGATATAGATACCAGATGAGATGGATTCTGCCGATAGCTCACATCTTTGATTCTACTCCATGTGCTCCGGTCAGTTTAACAGATGCTCCTTAATTAGTTCTTGAAAAACACAGTTTAAAATCATATCAAAGACAGCCAAACATATTTACAATGCTACAATTGTATGTGCTACTAAGTGTATGTAGTGATGTAATAGTGTTTTACACACACACACACACACACATATGACAGAAAAGAATAAATAGCTAAATGGCCTGTATTCATACTTTACTGTTGGCAAAGATGAAAAAGCAGGAAACTTTTGTTATTCTGCCTTAGTAGGTAAGAAAGATGACTTTAAGGAAAGTCGATAAAAAATGGAATTCCAACACAGAAATCTCCACTAAAACCTAACAAAAGTTTACCCTGAGCTTACATGCTTGCTCTACCTTCAAGGTACTTTAGATATGTATGAAGGACTAATCATGGGACCATCAAACTATGCACCTTGATATATCTTTCTGAAAATACAAGAAAGCAATGAGATGTGTAGAAGTAAAGACAAGAGAACATCAAAGTACCAAAACAGAAGAAATTATTAGTGTTGCCAACTAGGTGCGTCTTAATGCAATGACGAACGGATACCACTAATAAAATCAACCAAAATAGTCGTAACGACTTTTTGAACTAAATCGAACAACTGAGACCCATTGTGTTAAACAACAAGTGATCCTTCTGTAGCTCAGTAGCCAATACTATTGAGACAGGTTCTTATTTCCAAGCACGATGTGTTACAAATAACTAGAAATAACAATATCCACAGGCAATGAAGGAAAGCAGACACAGATGCATAAAATACGACAAGAATTCAGCTCAACATATGAGAAGAACTGAGGAAAAAATAACACAAAAATGCACTTATTCATTGATAATAATTACTGGTAAGACCAAATCGACAATTGCAACACAATAATCAATCAGTGATCACAAAGGAATAAACCCAGCCAGGACTTATCCAGAAACCTTTCGATTATTTTTCCCAACCGAGCCACAATTGAAGGCCTGAAACTCACAGTTAGGGGAAATGGCCTTCAACAGCAGCCGGGCAGTAGCTTCCTGCCGGACTTTTGCCCCAGCCTTCTCGGCTAGGACCGCCCTTACAATTCTATCATAACCGGCCCCACCGCCGGCCACGTATGCCACCACTGCCGCTTGCACAGGCCCCAAGCTAGGGTTATAGGCTGCTGACTCCACGTACGAGCCCTTGTACACGTTTCCCTGACAATCCATCAAGGCCACACCCGATGGGCACCCGCTGTAGGGTGCGTGCGAGCAGTTGGCGGCCTCCAGTGCAGCTTCTCTCAGAAGGATCATATCTGCCTCGAATTTATCGAAATTTCCGTTGATTAATTTTCCCGGATTAACAGAATTGTGATCCGAAAAGCCGTAGTCGTTTTGGGGCAACAGATCCAGGCCGTGGTCGTGCTGTTCGAGCAGAAGAGGGGTCCCACGATCGAGCAGATCGTGAGGGCCGAAGGGATTGGGCAGGAATTTGGGTAGGGGTTTGAAATCGGGATTCTGGGCGGGATCCCGACCGCCGTCGCCGGTGACGAGGATCTGGAGGGAGGAGGAGCCGCGGAGTTCCTGGAGGAACTGGCGGCAGTGGCCGCAGGGGGCGGCGGAGACGGCGAGGGAGAGGAGGGAGGGGCAGCGGTGGACGGCGAGGCTAGTGAGGAGGAACTGCTCGGCGTGGACGGAGTGGTGGAGTGGGAGGCCGGGGAACTCGAGGTTGACTCCGATGAAGACGCGGCCGTCGGAGCCGAGGCCGACGGCGCCGACGTGGTAGTTGGAGATCGGGGGTCGGGCAAGAGACTGGGCGGCCGGGACGAGGTGGGGAAGGAGGGCGGCGACGGAGGGGAGGTTCATGGACCGGGCCATGGACTCCGCGACCGAGGCCTCTATCATGAATTGGGCCTGGCCCGGCCCGTCATCCCGATGGCTCATTTTGTCTCTCACTCGATAGATGAATGGAGGTGGTGAAGAGGGGAAGAGGGAGCCAGGGAGGATGAAGAAGATGGGCTGAGGGGTATTTATAGGGCACTTGCAGTTCAAATTGCAGTACCATATGCATTATTTATTTTGTCATTTATACTTTTAAAGTAATAACCAAAATAGTCAGATAAATATATTTTAATGTGAGTTTGTTATCATGAAAAAAAAAAAAAAAAAAAAAAAAAGGTTTTTGTGGCCATAATTAAAATTGATGTTTGAGTGGCTTAAATGATTGGATCTAATTAGTATTTAAAACTTCATGCATTGTTTTGGTCAATAAATTATGTACTAGTATTCTA